TGGCTACAGAAAAGATTACTTTACCATTACACCCACACCCACATCATGGTTTCGAATATTTTTATCTTGTTATAGAATTGAAAATGATCCTATGAGATCGAAAGTTTCTATTATTTAATTAAAAAGTATACATTTCATTCTTTCCTCTTTCTCGTCATCGTAAATTAAATCGATCAAATGCATTTTCCTGACATTGTCATCATTCGATAAAAAATAAATGTAGAATTTGAAATCGCACATTCACTTTTTAGTAGATCAAAATGATTCGAATAAAACTTCTCGATTTTTTCACAAGAGAAAAAAGACGATTTTATATATCATATATCGTTCTTTTTCGTCTACCAACTTTCTTGACTTCGTAACATGATGATTAATTTCTTCATATACAGTATCTGACGTTTGTTAAGCACGTACACTCTTTTTCAATAAAGTATAGGAAGCAGAGATAAGAGAAAGAATAGAGATGAAGAATAATGTTTCATTTTCTTCGGAAGAAATAACTAAAGAATCATTTGATACAAAGAGCAACGAACAACGGCATATACAGATTACAATTTACTTCCTTTTTTTTGGATATAAAAGTGTAATCGTCAATCATACCTGAATATAGTACTTCATCATCACCAGTTTTCGAAGTTTAAATAACAGAATAATTTGAAATGCCGAGCAATTATCCACCGATTTATCCTCAAGTCCAAACGATCGTCACACAACCTTTTCTCGTACAATCATATCCGTCGAATGGTTTTGCAACTACTGTTGTTCAAGAACAACCGAAAGATGTTCAACATTGTTGTCACTTTTTTTTATGTCTATTAACAGGAGGATTATGGGCACCATGTTGGTTAGGAGCTTGTTGTGGATGTTGTGAGTATACTATTTTCTATTAGAATCAACATTCGAATAAGAACTTGAGCTGTATTTTAGGTTGCCAACGACCTTGTTGATTTAAATGCAACTCACAATACGAAAACAGAAACAATTTCTTTTTATTCATAATCTGGAATTTTTTTAATATTTTATGCATAATAAATGTAGAGTGAGAAATATTTATTGATTTGTTAAATCATCGTTCAGTTAAGAGATTTTTTAATTTTCTTTTATTTATCAGTATGATAGAAAAAAATCCTTCAATTTTTCTTCACCATTTTATTATCTTAATCAAATTCGTTGAATCATTTTGTTAACTAAAAATCTTTTTCTCTACCAAAGAAGAAAAATCAAAAACAATTCAATAAAATCTTACGAAAAGAATTTTTATTTTATATCTAAATTTTCCTATCTGACAAATAAAACAATTTATTTAGATAAATGAGAGATTATTTATTAAACAATTGAAAGTTCGAATTTCTTTTTTCTATTCGATTTTGATTTTTTAATAAAATAAAACTAATTTGATGTTTTGTTTATTTTATTTTAGTTTTAATATTTAAATGTAAAAATTAGTTTTCCTTTTAAAAAAGATAGATTTTCTCAATCTAGTTTTTCGATTTTGACAGCTTTTATTCTTATTCATCTATCTTTTTTCTCCTTTCTCTCGATAAATCTAATGAGATCTCTCTCTAGAAGTTTTATTCATTGATTTTTATTTATGTTCTTCATGATTTTTTATGAATTAATGATTTTTATTTAAAACAAAAATCGAAATTTTATCAAACTAAATTCAAAAGATTTTTAATTTAAATTCTAAAATATTTTCGGATTCGATGATTTAAACTATCAACAACATAAAGACTTTCTTCATTATCAAATGATAAGCCTGTGGGACCATTCAATTGATTTCCTTGGCCATTTCCACCAACAACAATTTCACCTTCTTCTTTTCCTTGACGCCGACGTATTATTCGATGATTCCCCCAATCTGCCACATAGATCTGACCCAAATGATCAACAATCACCCCGTAAGGGTTATTCAATTGTTTGAGGCTATCTCCTTTACCATTTCCACCCACAACAATAATTCCTACTGTTGCATCTTTTTTCCATTTCATTACACGATGATTTTGATTATCTGATACATAAAGAGAATAATCTTCATCAATAAAGATATAAGTAGGTTCATTGAGTTGATTAAGATGATCTCCTTTACCATTCCCACCTGCAACTAATTCACCGCTTTCATCACCATGTTTCCATCGTCTTACTTCATTCTTCTTCCAATCAGAAACATATATAAATCCATTGTTATCGATTGTCAGACCATGGCAAGTGATATTTGAAATAATAATTTGTGGATTTGTTTGATTTTGATCAAAATATCGAATTACTCGTTCATTTCTAAGATCGGAAATAATAAAAGAATTATTTCCTTTATCAAAAATTATATCTGTTGGATAACTCAATTGATTAGTTTGGTTTCCTTGCCCATATCCACCTGCAATGATTTCACTAGGAGTATTTGAATTGCAATTCCATTTAACAATACGATGATTTCCCAAATCAGCAATATAAATTGAGTTATCATTATCAATACAAATCCCTTCCGGATGATTGAGTTGATTTAATTCCTGTTCTTGTCCATTTCCTGCAATAGTAATTGCAAATTGTTGAAATTTATTCTTTCTTATATGATTTTGTTTTAAAATAAAATAATTCCTTTTTATTCAAAATCTTTTTCATTATTGTTAAATAAAAAAAAGGACGAAATTAAGAAGAAAAACTTGTGTTTGAATTTATAGTAATAAAATAAAGTTTTCTTCTTAATGAATAAAACTAATTCTAAACAATTTCTTCATTGAATTGAGATTTTTTGATCAAAAATTCTTAATTTGATATTTAGAAAAGTTTAATTTAGGAAAATCTATTTTTAAATGAAAACCATTTTTATTTCGATGATTTAGATAAAATCAATCAAAAATTTCTTCTTTGTTAATAAATTAAATAAGGGTGGGTGTGGGTGTGGGAATCTATTCCTTTATCAAGCACTTGGACTCTCTCCGCACCTACACCCACACTCACCCATACCTATCGTGTCATATTAAAATAAAAATCAAAAACTTCACTTTCGATATTGTGTCTGTCTACATTTTCCTTTCTACTTTTTCCTACTGATTATGTATTGTATTCTATTCGACGTCAGTCTTTTCGGTCTTTATACTACATACTTTTTCCATTTCGATATTTTCCTTCTTTTCTTTTCGACATTTTCCCTTTCGACATTTAACCCCACACCTTTCTTATCAAAAACATAATACCATTTGAAATATTAATTTAAATTCTTACTTAAGTAATAAAAATAATTCATGGAAAAGTTCTATGTCAGTTTTAAAGACAATGAAACTTTTTTTATTTAATGAAACATACTTTGATTTATTTGAGATAGAGTTGATATTTGATTTGTTGTTATTGGATTCTTTGGTATAGTTGCTGTACGAATTGTAGGATAGTTTGATTGAGAAAAATCTTAATAAAGAGAAAATATAATCATTTCATTTGACAATAATAGAAAAATAAATAATTTATTTTGATTTAATTTATATAAAAATATTTGAAAATACTAAAGAATACTAATAGAGTATTTTTGTGGGGTGTGGTTGTGGACTTAGATGTGAAAGTGGGTGTGGATACGAATGTGTATGATAAGGAAACGCAACAGCCACACCCGCAAGCAAGAGCGGAATCCGGTCATTTTGGATTCCAAAAACACGTCCCAGAGAATCTTGAGGATAAGTCTGGATTTTATAAAACCGTTTTGAATTCCAGGATTCTGCTCGTTTTCCCTTCCCACACCCACACCCATAGAGTTGCAGTGAGAACGGGAAAAAACGGCTGAATTTTGAGTGCTCGATAGCCCGAGTTGTTTTATTTCAGATATGTATGGCGGGAAGTGTTGTGGTGATAAATAAAAATCTCAAGCATAACTCTCTCTGCATTTCCTGTCGTTTTCTGACATATGACGTTTTTTGGTCTTTAAGGTTCTAAACCAACATCGGGTACCTCCGCTAGTGTATGCATAAACACTGTGGTATACACATAGTATGATCACTCTTAAAGTATTGTAGGTATAATAGTTTCCATTTTTAACTCAATGGAAGTAATACTAATAAAAGTTTTTGACTTACCTAGTAGGGGCGGTATATTACCAATTTTAGTAAATACAATTGGTATATCATCAGTTGTATCCTGTGGAACTTTCACCGATGGTTTCAATGTTTTGGCCTTGTACGTCGCCTGATATTGTCCTTTATTAGTTGCACCAAAAATGACTTCTTTTAAACTCTCGATATCTGAATCAGAATTTATTTTGATTTTCGTTGGAACGTTTTGGTCGCGTAAAAACCATACTGTAACCTCATTGGTCTTCGTGCAGGTGAGTCTTGCAAACATAGCTCTTTTTCCCAATGATTTAAATATAGAACTTATCCGAATGAAATTGTTTAAACTCAATGATTTGAAAAACTTGTAATAGTTTGTAAATTTCGAATGGTATTGTGTGTGTTTCACTGGGTATTCGCTTCGCGGAATAACTCGTTTCGTTTGTTTTTCTAAGATAACAACATTTGTCACTTTTTTTTCTTTTTTTTTTCATCTACGCATTTTATTGCGAAAGAATATGTTTACATTGAAAAGAAGACATAGAAGATCCACAATACCTAAGAAATGTTATTGGAAAGAGAGAAAAAAAGAATCCATATGGATTTAAGTGCTATGCAATTAAGCGTTGTTGATAGAAAACTGTATTCTTCGTAATGATAGATAAATATGTCTTCCGAAAAAGAAACAAAAATATGATAAAATAGAAGGAATTGTGTTATTCATTCAAATATCTTTTATCGACAGTTATGAATCGTCGACACCATATTGAGGGTGTCGATGTCTTATATATCCTTAATGCACTTGTACATTCACTCTTACCTACACTCTGATTTTAGTCATATCTCTATTAATAAAACATTCGATCGACAAAATACTTTCCCATAAAAAAAACTTGTCCGTAAAATCTGTTGAGTAACTTATATTTGAATGATGAACATCTTATTGTTAAACAGAAGTCGTCGGAACTAAACAATAATTGTGAAAAATGAGTTAATTTGATTTTTTGATGAATTAAATTATGATTTGTTTGAAAAAAAGGAATCTCTTACGAAAAATTGATTTTGAAGAATAGCGAAAATCATTTTATGAATATCGATTAGATTTTCATTATTTCGAAGTTAATTATTTCACTTCATTTTTCATCCAATTCAATGATTTTATGCTTAAGAATAACAAAAACTTCAAGTCGAAAATAAATAAAATATTTATTTAAACGATTTCTTCATCTTCTTCAATCGAGAGATCATCTGGCTGTTCTTTTCGATCTATTTTCGTTTATTTTCAATATTACTAAAAGATTTAGAAGATCAGCCGATATTTCATTTATTTTTCTCATAATTTACTAAATTTTATGTGAAGAATTAAATGTTTAACAATAAAATAAAGAACAATAAATGAAAAATAAACATTTTAATTTATTCTCTACAGTCTTCACCCTTTTTCTCGGTTGAATCTATTCGTAACTTTTAGGAGTTATTTTCTAATTGATCATATGTGGTCGGATCCTCATTTACATTTAAAATTTGAATTAAATATCTGTTGACAATATGTAATATATTTGGCAAGAAAATAAATCTTAATTTGCGGTGTTTCATTGATAATAAGTCGGAATATTATTTTAATCAAACGATGAACATTGTAGAACTCGATTATGAATAATATTTTCAGATTTAACATAATTTATTGTAAAGATTCGCTTCGTTTTGTCTTTGTTGATAGTTTGAATAATTCTTTTTGGAATTAAAATAATGTCACAGGTTTGAGTTTAAAGTTAAAATTTCGAGATTATAAATATTTATTGTTTTGTAGAATCTCTACTTGTTGAGAATTTGATCATCTATTCAATTTGCATTAGTAATTAAAGAAATATGTTGATCATTCAAAAGAGAATATCGATTTTTATTTAAGTGTTGATTTTATAAACGAAAATTATTGAGAAATAAAAAATATTTATTTAAAGATTTTCTCTTTTATTCGTAGTGGTTTGTTTCAAAATGAATTTATTTATTTATTCAAATGACGTTATTCATATTCAAAGAAATATTTTATATTTGAATGTTTTTTAAATTTTATTTGAAAAAATTTAATTAAAATTATAAAAATAAATTGAGATTATTAAATCAGAATAAATACGATTTTATCTCGATTAAATCAGCTGACTGATTTATTTTAATCGTAGAGAAATTGTGAGGATGGGTGGGTGGATGTAGGTATGTAATAGATATAAATCTCATACTCATACTCACACCCACACCCTCTTTGATGATACACATGTATGCCTGAACCTGCAACTCAGCGAAAACCATTCGAAAACAAGCTACAACTCATTTTCGCCATAAATTATGATCCTCGACTGATGTGGAGTAAATATGGCTTGCTTGTGAAATATAGCGTGCACTACAGGCTTAGCTCCACACACAACTCACAGAAAAACATGCGTCCAATAAATAGAACGAGTAATACATGTTAAACTGTACTCACCGTTCTATCACCATGAAAATCTAGTAAAATTCCAAGCTTCTATTTATATATATGTGGCAAATGTACACTTGCTGTGTAAGAACTGCGTCGACTTTGAAGAGTGTGCACAAATAAATACACTGAGAAAAAACCCGATTGCAGAGCAGAAATGAAAGAAAACGATGTCTCAAGAGCGCACACAAACAAATACAATGAGAAAAAACCCAATTGTAGAGCAGGAATGGCAGAAAATAATTTTCGAATTACTTTTGCTCTCGAGAGTGAGGCAAGCAGTCATGACACGTTTCGATCTTGCTTAAGAGTGAGTCTGAGAAAACTAGATGGTGCTGGTAGTGACCCATCGGGTGTGGGTGTGAGTGTGATCATCTTCAACCCACACCCACACCCACACCCACACCCACACCCACACAGACCCACACCCTCAAGATAAGTACTGTTCAGAGTTTTTATCACTTACTGAAAAGGGCCCCCAAAAGATCACGAAGAATGTGTGCTAAGCATGATTATATACCCTCTACCACGTATCAAAGTTGAAGATCAACTCACATTTATATCTACAGATCCAATGTTGCCGATGGTTTATTCTCTCGATTTAAATCCATGCAAATTTACCTATTGGATGTGAAGACACGCATCATATGGCTTTTGTTGACATCAAATAATTAAGTGTTGAATATATGCTAAGAATTCACTCGTGCTAAAATACAATTAGCCAATAGATTGAAAGCATTGCTTGAAGAAGACAACTATCTCAAATCCATTACAGATTCTATTGAAGAAGTTTATGTGTTTTAAATGTTTGACTCTCTTAATGACACTAGATCTTTCGTATCTCGAGGGTGTGGGTGGATATGAATAAGATAGGAATATAATATCCACACCAAAACTGACAAAAGTATATCATTCAAATTGTTAATCATATTCTTGTATTCTGTTTGCTGTTCATCACCTTCCCACCCTATTTGTACGCAAACGATACACTTCATTCGTCAGTTTATAGAGATTTCATTGATGTCGAAGACTTTATTGAAGCTTCGGAATAAACACTGAGAAAAGCAACTGTATAGATCATTACGTTATTAATATTATCTATGGTGTTTGATTTCGTTCATGTTTTATGAAAAATAGTTATTTTTAGTTTTGTAGGACAAGAAAAAGATAGTTCATTTTATGTACTTGGCTCTTGTTATTTGCCTGTTTTTCATATCTGTACCAGTTTAATAAACTTGCCACTATATATAGTAAACAAAATAGTATACCTTACAGATTATATTATTTCTAAAGAATAGTGGCTTACTCGTAATACTCCATCTGTTCCACCACTATTAATACGTGCTATTTGACCCATTTTACTTTGTTGACGTCGTATCCCTTCTTCACGAGCATCGCCTAGAAAAGAGCAAGATACCTGAAAAAAAATAAATGAAAAGGATAATCAGTAACTTACGAATCACTGCTTGTTCACGTTTCAATTCCTCTGCAATTTTCTGGTTGATACCAGCATTTGGATCAGTATTAATACGTGCTATTTGACCCATTTTACTTTGTTGACGTCGTATCCTTTGTTCATGAGCATCGCCTAGAAAAGAATAAGATACTTGAAAAAAAATAAATGAAAAGGATAATCAGTAACTTACGAATCACTGCTTGTTTACGTTTCGATTCCTCTGTATTGTTCTGGTTGATACCAGCATTTGGATCAGTATTATCTACCTGTAGTTAAGAGAATTAGCAAAATTAATATTTAAAATAAACAATATAGCTTTGATTCTATATTAGATCGCTGATATAATGTCGTACTTACTTTAAGAATTTGACTCTTTTGATTCACTTGACGATTAATTTTCGGTTGTATCATTGCTGATCTGAATATGAATTTCTATATAATAATTTAACAAGATAACGATCATATTCACCTAATAGGATTTGCTTGTAACTCCACTTTTGGGGAAAGTTTTGTTGAACGACTGATATCTTGGCTACTTAACAAACGATTATTGCAGGATTTACTACGATTTTCATATCTTTGATAATCTAAAATGATTGTAGAGAAGCTAGTTGTTTAATATTATTGTTTGTATATACCATCAAAATCGAATGGCATAATCAATTCTAGAAGCGATATGTCTTTGCTACCAGTAAATTATTTATTCAAACAATTTCAAAAACTGGCTTTAGATTGAAATTCTACGACTTTAATAACCGTTCGGTCAATACTTATAAAAAATTTTTTTGTGTAAAAAAATTCTAAGCACTAACATTAGATTCGAAGTCCTTGTATCGAAATACCTCAAGAAATGTCTTTTCTGAAAAATTTGGTCTTCGATGTTTTTCTGACCCTGCGGACACACAAGTAAGCAAGTAAACAAACAATTTATGTTTACGGGACTCTTCTCTACGAGAAAGAGAATTAATAAAAAAGTTCTATGTCAATTTAAAAGACGATGAAATTTTTTTATTTAATGAAACATACTTTGATTTATTTGAGATTGAGTTGATATTTGATTTGTTGTTATTGGATTCTTTGGAATAATTGTTGTATAAATTGTAGGATGATTTGTTGTTATTGGATTCTTTGGTATAGTTGCTGTACTAATTGTAGGATAATTTGTTGTTGTTGTTGGATTCTTTGGTATAATTGTTGTATAAATTGTAGAATGATTTGTTGTTATTGGATTCTTTGGAATAGTTGCTGTTAGAGAACTGCGCTGCCTTCCGAAACCCGATTCCCACTTCGACTTCGACGGAGTCCGAATCGGAATGATTACATGAAAATTTTCGGAGTCGAAGCTGGCATCGAAATCGTAAAAAATATTTTTCGGAGTCGGAGTCGGAACTAAAAAGAAGGATTTTTCGGAGTTAATATCGGACTTCGATTAGAAGACGAATTAAATTGCTTATTTCTTTCCCAAAAAGAACTTTTTTGTCATAATATTTGTGTTTTTAAAAAGAATAAAAAGAAAGAAAGAAGTTCTACAACTTCTATAACTTAACAATATCAGATATTCTTTTTTTTATTTGCTTATAATTTTGTTCATTCACAATACTTTGTCTTTCTATTTGTCTCTAGACTACAAAAAAGTTTTCGGAGTTTTTCGGAATCGGAACTACCTAGAACTTTTTCTCGGAGTCGGAGTCAGAATCGGAATAAAAAAACTCGACTCCGCAGTACTCTAGTTGCTGTACTTATTGTAGGATGGTTTGATTGAGAAGAATCTTAATAAAGGGAAAATACAATAATAATATTTGACAATAATAAAAATAAATTTGTTTTCATTCAATGTATATAAAAATATGAATAGAATATTTTTGTTTTGAAAAAATAAATAAACAAAGAGTAACTTAGACTATTAGAACTATTATTTAAGTTCTTAATATAATTTAAAATGAAACGAATGAAAACTCAATTTTGTGATTTGAAATTTTGATTTAGTTTTATATAAAAATAAATATTTTGAATAAATTCTATAGGTGAAACGATGATATTATTTGTAAACTAAGTTTTATTTTATTTTTAATAATTATCCAATTAATTAATTATAATATAATGAAGAATCTGAAAATTTTGATTTATGACTCAAAAAGAAAATAAATCTATATAATAAGTAAAGATTTTCAACAAAAATCATTGTTATGATTTTATAAAATATAAAAATAATATCTTAATTTTTAATAAATATATTCAATTCTCAATATAATCATAATTTCTTTTTTCAAAATTATTCGAACTGATTAATTTGATTAACAATTCTATGAATATTTATTCTAATTAGAAAATGAAAGATTTGATAGAAAATTTTGTTCTTATCATAGAAATTGATTTATAGAAAATATTTTAAATGAAAAACTTCGTTACTTTTCACAAGAACTTTTATGTACAATATATATTTAATAATATTCTCATTAGGAAAAATGATTCAAAAACGATGGATGAAATCACTTTTTAGTGTTATATGAAGTGATATAATAATAGAAAAGAAGCAAATTACGAATAATCTTATGAATATTGTTTCAAGAGAAATTACTACTTCTTATCAAAAACATAATACCATTTGAAATATTAATTTAAATTCTTACTTAAGTGATAAAGAACTTATACCTCAATTTCAAAGACGATGAAACTTTTTTTATTTAATGAAACATACTTTGATTTGTTGTTATTGGATTCATTGGTCTAGCTACTGTACGAATTGTAGGACGGTTTGATCGAGACGAATCTTAATAAAAAGAAAATATAATTATTTCATTTGACAATAATAGAAAAATAAATAGTTTATTTTGATTTAATTTATATAAAAATATTTGAAAATACTGAAGAATATTAATAAAATATTTTTCTGGGGTGTGGGCGTAGATGTGAGAGTGGGTGTGGATGCGAATGTATAGTATAAGGAAAAGCAACAGCCACACCCTCAAGAAAGAGCAGAATCCGGTCACTATGGATTCCAAAAACACGTCCCGGAGAATCTTAAGGATTCGTTCGGATTTTATAAAACCGTTTTGAATTCCAGGATTCAGCTCTTTTTTCCTTCCCACACCTACACCCTTCTACAGGAATCCTCTAGGTCCAGAGCAAGGTCGACATGGAGTTGGCGTAGTCAAAGTGACGGGGTGTGCGATATTTCACCCAGGTAGTCCTGTGATAGCTAACGTAATCCAACTGTCCATGACACTTCCTTCTGTACAGGAAAAGTCGAGAGAGGATGGGAGGCAGAAGATGGCTAAAATTTAAACAAATATCGTTGAACTCATTTGATCGATCTTTAGAGTATCCATCTATTACTACGTTTTCGCGGTGGTTTGGTTTTGTTGCGCAGAAATGGGGACGATTGCGAAGTGAGATAATCAGTCTTACATAATATTCGTTGGACTATCGTGCTTCATCGTGGACGTGTGTGTATTTGTGAAAGATAAAGCTTTAATCCAAAATCTAAGTTTTTTTAACTCCGACATGAAGTGAAGATAGAGTTGCAGTGAGTACGGGAAAAAACGGCAGAATTTCGAGTCCTCGATAGCCCGAGTTGTTCTATTTCAGATATGTATGGCGGGAAGTGTTGTGTTGATAAATAAAAACCGCAAGCATAACTCTCTCTGCATTTCCTGTCGTTTTCTGACATATGAAGTTTTTTGGTCTGTAAGATTCTAAACCAACATCGGGTACCTCCGCTAGTGAATACATAAAGATTGTGGTATACACATAGCATGATCACTCTTGAAGTCTTGTAGATATGATAGTTTTCATTTTTAACTCAATGGAAGTAACATTAATAAAAGTTTTTGACTTACCTGGTGGAGGCAGTATATAACCAATTTTAGTAAACACAACTAGCATATCGTCAGTTGTATTCCATGGTACACTCGCCGATGGTTTCAATGTTTTGGCCTTGTACGTCGCCTGATATTGTCCTTTATTAGTTGCACCAAAAATAGCTTCTTTTAAATCATCGATATCTGAATCAGAATTTATTTTGATTTTCGTTGGAACGTTTTGATCACGTTGATACCATACTGTAACCTTATTGGCCCTCGTGCAGGTGAGTCTTGCAAACATAGCTGTTTTTCCCAATGATTTAAATATAGAACTTATCCGAATGAAATTGTTTAAACTCAATGATTTGAAAAAATTGTAATAGTTTGTAAATTTCGAATGGTACTGTGTGTGTTTGACTGGGTATTCGCTTCGCGGAATAACTCGTTTCGTTTGTTCTATAAAAGAACAACATTTGCCACTTTTTTTTCTTTCTTTTTAATCTAGGCATTTTATTGTGAAAGAATATGTTTACATTGAAAAGAAGACATTGAAGGTCCACAATACCTAAGAAATATTATTGGAAAGGGAGAGAAAAAGAATCCATATGGATTTAAGTGCTATGCAATTAAGCGTTGTTGATAGAAAACTGTATTCTTCGTAATGAAAGATAAATATGTCTTCCGAAAAAGAAACAAAAATATGATGAAATAGAAGGAATTGTGTTATTCATTCAAATAACTTTTATCGACAGTTATAGGTCGTCGACATCATATTAAGAATGGCGATGTATGCTATATGCTCAATGCACTTATACATTCACTCTTACCTACACTCTGATTTTAGTCACATCTCTATTAATAAAACATTCGATCGACAAAATACTTTCCCATTAAAAAAAAACTTCTCCGTAAAATCTGATGAGTAACTTATATTTGAATGATGAACATCTTATTTTTAAACAGGAATCGTCAGAATCATAGAATAATTGTGAAGAATGAGTTAATTTGATTTTTTGATGAATTAAATTGTGATTTTGTTTGGAAAAAGGGAATCTTTTAAGAAAAATTCATTTGATGAATATCGATTAGATATTCATTATTTCGAATTTAATTATTTCACTTCATTTTTCATCCAATTCAATGGTTTTATTCTTAAGAATAACAAAAATTTCAAGTCGAAAATAAATAAAATATTTATTTAAACAATTTCTTCTTCTTCTTCAATCGAGAGATCATCTGGCTGTTTTTCTCGATTTCTTTCTCATTTATTTTCTCATAATTTACTAAATTTTATGTGAAGAATTAAATATTTAATAATAAAATAAAGAACAATAAACGAAAAATAAATATTTCAATTTATTCTCTACAATTTTCACCCTTTTTCTCGGTTGAATCTATTCGTAACTTTGATTGTTGATTTTTTAATTGATCAAATGTAGTTGGATCTCCATTTGCGTTTAAAAATTTGAATTAAATATCTGATGACAATATGTAATATATTTGGCAAGAAAATAAATCTTAATTAGTTGTGATTCATTGATAATAAGTCGAAATATTATTTTAATCAAACGATGAGCATTGTAGAAATCGATTATGAATAACATTTCATTAAAATTTTGTGTTTCTTCAAAATATTTCAATATGAGATGTCGATGAATAAAGAAATGATGAAGAATAGTTTTTATTCTTTTTTTTAGATTTTTCGAAAGTTCGTCGTAAAGTAAAAGAATTGTTAATGCATATCTATTCCGATGTCACTTTTATTTCAATTTTCTCTTCGTATGATGAATTGAATAGAGAATTTGATTATATTTTATAGAAAATAATATTTTCAGATTTAACATAATTTATTGTAAAGATTCACTTCTTTTTGTCATTGTTGATAATTTGAATAATTCTTTTTGGAATTAAAATAATGTCACAGATTTGAGTTTAAAGTTAAAATTTCGATATTATAAAAGAACATTAATGAGAAATAAAAAATATTTATTTAAAGAAGATTTTCTCTTTTATTCGTAATGGTTTGTTAAAAAATGAATTTATTCATTTATTCAAATGACGTTATTCATATTCAAAGAAATATTTTATATTTGAATGTTTTTTAATTTTATTTGAAAAAATTTAATTAAAATTATAAGAATAAATTGAGATTATTAAATCAGAATAAATACGATTTTATCTCGATTAAATCTGCTGACTGATTTATTTTAATCGTAGAGAAATGGTGAGAATGGGGTGGGTAGATGTGGGTATGTGATAGATATAAATCTTATACTCATATCCACACTCACTCCATCCACCCCATCCTTCTCTGTTACGAATTCCAATAGCTTATCGAGCCAATCATACTATTATCTTTTTGTCAAAGATTATCAATTAATGAGACAAAAGTGGAACAGTTTTTTAGATGGATGGGTGGACGTGAGTGTTTCTTCAGCAATTACATTCACGTAAATCCACACCCACACCCACCCTCTATTTTGTAAAATGTCCTCTTATTTCTAAATCATGTTTTAATTCATAATGAAAATAAAATTATCACACACATGTATAACTAACACTAAACGAAATTCAAGAAAAATGCAAATGTTTCATTTCATAATTGTCACCTGTCAATTAATACATGATTGATGAATGAACTCTATTAGCAGAGGCGGAGATGAATCGGAAAGATCAATCTTATCACTATCCGTTTCTGGTAGAACATCCGTTAGTAAATCAGATGATGTTGTTTCAATATTAATTTCCGATATTGATAGTCGACCAAATCTATCGTCGGTCATATAGCGAGTAACTAATAAGAGACATCTAAAAGAGTAAATATAAGATTTCATTTTTATTTTTGCAAATGAACATGACTTACATGTTAAGAATAAATGGTATAATAGCTAGACTAGCAGCAAATATTAAAGTAGTACCACTATAATAGACTACTGTACGAGCATATAACCAATTGAAGAATGAACCACCCAAAGTAGTCATTAGTGCACTGAGATCAGTAAAAAATGTAAATGCTTTGCTTCGTTCATGTGGTTCTAACCATTTGGATAACATTGTCCATGTTAAAGAATTTTGATAGGTAGAAAATGAACCAATAATCAATGCGGCATACATTTCCCACTTGTGTTCAGCAAGTGCTATCCAAATAGTCGATGTAAATAAACTGATATAACCAATAGCACAAATAAATGGATCACTAACACCAATATGTGTTAACATTCGCATACTGACTAGAGTGAAAACAGCAGAAGTAATAGCAAAAACAGCTATATAATTTCCAATCTCAAAAGATGACCAACAAAATGGAACATTTAAAAGATACCAAAGAAATGCAGCTGATGATGAACCTATGAATACATTAAACGCATACGAGATCATTGTCAGATAGATACAGATAGATTTTTTTTTTTGATCGACGTTTAAATGCAAATACAGTAATTATTTGAAAAACATGAGCCCATGTTAGTGGCGATGTCGTTGTACCATCATGGGATTTTGTTAAAAGAGATGTTGTACTTTCGGATCTTTCTCTAGTTTCAGATTTAAAATGAGATGGTTTAATGTAGCGAATAGTAATAATAATTGATAATAATTGTGATATTAAAGCTGCCCAAAACAGGTCAATAAAACCACGCCATGCAATGTAATAACCTATTCCGGAGGATGCACCAGCTCCCACACCTGTTGTTATACTGACGATAAGAACAATACGAGATGAACGTTTACTTTCGACTGTACCTTCAATAATAATCAACAGGAGTACAAGATCTTAACGAGATGAGAGAAAAAAACAAATAAATTAGCTGGAAGTCAAAAAAAAGTAGTTAACTATTAATTACTAAGAACTCCAATCGAACCCGTTAGACCAAGGATAATAGAAGAAATAATCCACCAATAGTCAAGAAGATGAAAATAGATAATTGCTAGCCAAATAGACAATTGAATAACGGTACCGAACATCGGAAGTAGAGCTACAACTCGTACACCTAATTTTGGTGTATACAAACCAAGTATATATGTCATGATAATCACCGGAATACCATTCGATAGATTAATCCAAAAGAATAGATCGGCTGAACGTTGTTGTGCCCATATTTGGGCTTGACTTGTCGTTGTATTTGGATCTTTTTCACATGCCATATTATTGCTCGTTGTTTGTAAAATCGATGATTGAGAACTATTATTCGGCATGGTTAAGGTCATATTCGATGTAAGTGGATCATTATTTAGATAGGATGCATAAATATATTGTCCAACAACGGCAAGAACAGAAGAACATAATGATTGTAAACATGTAATCGCAACAATAGCATAAATATTAAGATTCGATGTCATGGATTCTATATTATTATTGTAACCCAATAGAATAATCGATGAAATATGAAAATAAATGATTAAACCTTTTCATATCTTCTGAAGAAATCAATGAAAAATCTTTCAGTCAAAAGAATCAAATCTTTGGGTACAGAAGAAGAAGAGAAAAATAAATTACATAACAAAATGTTTTACACAGCATATAAGTCGGATTCTGGTGATCTACCCTCTCTGAATGACATGCTTTACTAAAATAAATTCACCGACAAAGAGATACAGGCTAAGACGAAGCGGAGCAAATATTGCTCCTGATTCTTCATATACAGTGTATATACATGTGTGTACTCCTTTTTATCTTAATGTTATACAAGGTCTTTCTTTCTTTTTTCTTCTCTTTATCAATGCATACAATATGCGTTTTTTTTATTCTCTTCCTCTGCTATTGTTACCTTAAAGCTCATACAATCAAGATCGATAAAAAAAAGCGTTTACATTTGTTAAAATATATGCGTTTTTTATATTTTCAAAAATGAACATAGTTTTTGTACATTATACATTTTGCCAATTTTTTGATTGCCTAAGATTCAATAGACACTAGAATATTCACTAACTTTGATTGCTCTTTCTTCTACTTAATCTGTGCTAATAAACAGTGAATATGATCTTGATCGATCACAATCGACTAATGATATTTATTTATGATATAACAATTATCAGGATATGGTTGATTATTTTCTTATGGTGAAATATTACATGAAGATCCGTTCGACGTAGTTCTTGAATGACGAACAGAGGTGGTTGGCAACACAATTAAAAGCTCGTGACCATCCAGAAGAGGTCCGAGAAGCCATTTCTTGCTAATAGTTTTAAGTATTACTAAAAGTTCCTTATGATCAACGAAAAAATCTGTGTTGACCAGTGAAATTGGTTGTTGATTAATATCGACAGCGAGAGGAGGTTGCTTGTCGAAAATGGAACCAACAATTTGAGTATGTGAAACATAAGGAATGTTGCATACTCGAATGACGTTTTCTGCATGATCAGCAATGAATTTCAAATTGATTGGTATACGATTGCAAGCATTGCAGAGGCTCATTATAGCATAAGGATGTGAAGATACAAGTCCAGCGATGACAACATCTTCGACGTTGTTCGTAGCCATAGAAAGTAGAGTTCCAGCTACACCTCGACGTCGGTAAGAAGAATCAACCACTAATTGAGTAATCCAAACAGCATTGCCATTTAATGGATCATATTTGGCATATGTGCAGAAGGCATGACCAATCAATTCAAACTGATCAATATCCGATGAACGAATTTCTGCAACAACAAGAAAACAGTGATCATTGAAGAGCAAGAACTCACGAAGACGTTTGATTCCAAGTTTAACACGAGATCCGGCTTTTAATGCGTTGTTGCTATGAAGAGGAGCATCATTAGCCCAGATGCCGTAGTTGTTATTAAACAACGCTGAGCATTTTTCAAGTATTCGATCCGTCAGAAAAGAATATGAAATGCATGTATAAGAGATTGGACCAACAAACGTCATTTATATATCTAAAATAAAAATAGAACAACAGTGATTCATAGTTACTATAAATTATTTTACAGTTGTGTTTTAGATTGCTATGTTTTCTTATGTTCTTTTCAGGTCATTGTATTCTTTTATACATTTCGAATGAAGAAGTACAATATCCACACTCTTAATAATAAATATGCAAAATTCGTCTGAAGTAATTTTAAATTCTCTCCTTCTTTTTATTCTTTATACGTAATCTTAGTCTCATATGAAAAAAATTGAGAGAATAAAATACTGTCATCCGCATCCAAACTGTCAAATATAATAATTGTGAGAAACTAGTGCATCAGCTAAAATTGTCAATTGATCTTGAGTAAATCGTTCTCGATGTTCATGCCATGAGTCGTGATGTGTGCGACGAAATTCTGATAAACATTGTTTGATCGATTTCTAATTATTAAAGCGTTCATCTACATATATACAAATAGATTAGAAGATACATACTTGAATTAGATCAGGATCGTCTAAATGTTTACAGAGAAGCATCAATGCATCTGGTACGTGAGCTGGAATATCATATGGACTGGAAAGAACGATGGCACAAAGTCCCAAAACACCTACAATGAATGTTATGTTAAACTTTTTCTGATTAAATTAATTTACTAACCAGCATGACGTTTGATCATATTATTCGATAGGATTACTTTCTTGCCGTCGATCTTCGTAAAATAATTCGTTTTGCTCATCAAACCAAAATTGTTCTTTGATAATAAAAAAATCAATTGAAATCTTTTGTTTTTCGAAAAAGAAAAGAAATTATCGTACTAGTTCTTTCGATGTTATTTGAATGTAGCCACATTGATATAAATCAGATAAAGTACTTCGTGCAGCTATTCGCACTTCGAAGTGTTCATCAGAGAGACACTTGAGAATAAGTTCATGTACTTGTTTCGCATAAGGACGTGCATTGAATAGATTACAAAAAATCATGGTTTGAACAAATTCAATAGCCGCTCGACTTGCATGCCATTTAGTACTTACACAAATCTACGAATATGAACGAAAGAAGAAGACAATATTTTATATATTTTCTCTACTGATTTAATACTTGTGACAGTTGTTGAACGAATGTATTTAAAAAGGAAAGATTTAAATAACTGATCCCAACACATTGTCGACTTGCTGTCAAACGTGTTTTAAAGTTTTCATCACATCCCGCAACACTCTTGATTTCACAAAGCTAAAATAGAACATTTTTCTAATTAGTATGTTTCTCCATTCACAAGCTATCAACATACGAAAGGAAAAAGACGAATAATTCCATTTTTGATCGGTTGTTGAGAATAGTAAAATATATCGGAATTCGTCAGAACCACTAAATTATATCGAAACAAAAGACATGACAAACTGACGAACATTACATTTCTACCTGTTTCAATAAAATTGAAAGCTTTTTGAGTTTCGAGATCAGTCTCAAGAATCTGATCTGATATCAAATTTATTGGTAATCTTTCACAAATTTCGATAGCTTGATTCAATCGTTCAGATATAGTGTCGAGAAATACATTAATATTTGGTTGACGTGTCGATTGACCATCGAGCAATGTGACATCATGGCTCATTGACAACGCTAATACACTATAGTGGAAGAAAAATTATTTAATTTAAAAATAAATTTCAAATTTGTTACTAACTAAGCAATCCGAGTACGAACGCTTAGAGATGAATGATCGAGTAATTCTGCAATGTGTTTATATACTTCACACCAAACAGATGGTATACGCCAGTGAAATTTGTCTAAATTTCGAATTAAGCACCAACGTGCTGATTCATTAAATGTATTCGATGTTGATTTTGCATTGATCAGTGTGCACAGAAAATGAATTACGCGAAACATTCGACGTGGATCTTTATTTATCTTTAAATAACAAAAAAAAATATCAAATGTTCAGTGATAAACACAACTTACGATGATATAAAAGAAACATGCATTCCAATGCGATAACACTTCGGAATTAAGATTATTACAAACTTCGGTAAGTAAAGGGGTGAGTTTTTTCCATAGTTCATTTAACTAAAGAAAAAGATAAGTCAACCATTGGATTAAGTTAATCCATCTGTCTTACCATTTCTAATGTCCAATTTTTTGAACCACAAATCATTCCTGCTACAATTTGTGCAGCTACTCGATGACTACCTTCTTGTTTTTTTGTGATCTTTTCATGAAGGAGTTCGTTCAATTGTTCCATGAAATTATCAAAAAATGCCGACCCAAAATTACGAAATAGACCCTAGCGATAATAAATTCAACTTAACTAATATAAAAATCATAGAACTTTTCTATTTACTTTAAACATAATAAATTGATCTTTATCAAAGTTCTTTTGTTCTTCATTCTCGTTCAAAATCATCAGTTGTGTGGTTTGTCTTACAAATTGTTTATTCATAAAACAATCATATAAAATGGTTACATCTTTGGGCATTTCATGATCTTTTGTATAACGTGCTCGTTTATTCATTGGGTATTTAATTATTCTTGGCCAAGTATGATATCCATGAAATGATTTATCTAAAAAGCATGTTTCTTCCCATTCGATTTGTGTTTCCGGTGGTTTATAATCATTAAATGTCAACCATAAGTTATCCTCTCGATCACCCGGATGGCACTGATCAGTAGTAATATGAGGAAGTGGTTTACCACCCTAGTGAAACTACTCATCAAGCGAGTACGACTTGCCAGCATGAGTACTCAGATTACTCAAATGAGTACTCGTGAAAATTGACGAGTACTCTTACTGATTGAGTACTCGTAGTCGTACTGATCTAGTTGTTGCTTATTTAACTTTACTCGCAAGTAGTGGTATGAGTACTCACGAGTACTCATATATATTTTAAGAAAATAACTCAATAAAACAGTTATGCATTTTCAAGTATGAAATATAAAAAAATAAAATAAAATGAAAATAAAGTTTACACAATATAATTAGATATGAAAATGTATTTTATTTGTTCTTTTTTGTTCAATATTATCAGACGACAAAAACGACCATATTGTTTCTAGGAGCGAAAAGACAACATACAATTGGGTATTAATTTTCATGTGTTTATTTTTTTGTCTTCAAATAAACGCTTGTATTCTATAGAAGAAATAGAAGTTGTTTTCCATGTGCTTAGATATTTTTCGAAAAAACCGTTGTATTCAATAAGATTATTCGTCACTATTCGGTAATTAAAAACAAAAAAAAAGCAACGTGACTTGTTTATGTATATTGAAGATATCCAATAGCAATATATGTTGAGATAGACAAGTCTTATATCGATAACGTCATTCTTTTTTTTCTATTATCATTCTCGTCAGTATCGTTTGCCTATAATCACGTGTTTATTGCTTTCTTCTAATCTTTGATTTATTTTTAGATGTTTAATAAACAGTTTTAGAATTTCGATTATAAGTTTCGATTAAATGCACCTACTGTACGAAAAATTCAATAGACATATCCATCTTATATAAAATTTATCTTTTCTATTAACTAGACATTAGCAAATCAAAAAAATCAAGCTGAATTTACTAATGAAACTTATACAAAAATCGAAGTAAATCTTCTTCTTTTTTATATATACCTTTATCCAATCTCTATTGCAATTCTAGAAAATTATTGGTATGAATCTTAATCAAATTAAATCTACAGTAATACGTCCAACAATGGTAATGAGAAAATCAATGAAAAAAGATGGTCATATTGGTGATTAAATACAGTTAATAAAATATAAAAATTTATTCAAAGGTCAATATACAACTTTTAAGTTTTCCACTGCAAAGTTCATTAAAATTTATCATTTTAGAATTATACAAATGAAATGAAATGAAAGCAACAAAAATAAAACAGTTTATGCAGAACTATTATCAATAGCAACAAAACCAACACCACAACTTGCACAAATATCAACGATTCCGAGCGAACAAGGGATAACAACATCAACGATCACTACTAAAAAAGAAACAATAACGATAATGCCATCTCAATCATGTAAATGAACACCATATAACTCATGTGTGATTTTATATATTTTGCCATGATTATATTAAGGCAAACGAGTTGTATCGAAGTAGAAGTAATTTAATTTTTTATAAAATTAGAGGAGATTTTTTTATCTATCGTTTTATTTTTTTCACTGTCTTTTCTTTGTTTTTTATATTGAATATTCTATCATATTTTATCTTGATCCTATTACTTATGTTATTTTTTATGTTAACTTTGTTACTGTTACATGATCAAAAAGTAGATTATATCAATAAATTAAAAACTAATAAAAATATTGTCGTATATGAAATGTACCAATAGAGTACTCGGAAAATTAGAAACGAGTAGTTGTTTATAGTACTTAAATACTCGGCAGTTTTACATTAGTACCCGCTGGTAGTACTCAAATACTCTGCAGTTTTATATAAGTACTCGCCAGTCGTACTCGAACACTTAACGTTCATGACAAATACAACACACGAGTACTCAAACATAATAAGTACTCATGAGTTCTCGTGACATTTTCTAGCGTGAGTACTTTATGAGTACTCCGGTATGAGTTCTTTCACTAGGGCATTGTAAGATAAAATTTCTTCGAGAGATTTTTCTACATAGATGCGTGGTGGTTTTTGCAAACGACATAATGAAATAATTGCTTTGATAGCTAACTGAAAAAAATTGAAGAGAAGACTTCGATTTATTAAATAATATTTGTGAACAAACTTTTCGTATTTCTATATGATCATGAATGAGACAATCGAGAAAAGTTTCAATACAGGATAATGGCATTGGCACACGATTTTGACGAATATCACATAATAATGACAATGTGATCTCTTGTTCTTTCCATGTTCTCAATGATCATCAATGAAAAAATTATTTGAAGATAAAGAAATCAAACTTACAACGAAGAATCTTTTAGTAATAAACTAAGTGTTTCCATCAGACGATTGTAGGATTGAATGTTGTTTTGATTATATTCTTCAATTTGTTGCATTTCGTTTGCTTCTAATGAACGCCATAGAGTCTTAGCTGCACAAATGGATTTTTCATTGGTATTCTGAATGATGATATCCGTAGTGGAATTTTTACAAATCTTTTTATGAATATTTTCGATCAATTTTTGAGTACTAGTTTTCTTGGCATGAGTTATATGTACGATCAATGGCCATAGTTTTTCCTTGATTATCCACGAATATTTCGTTGGTAAGAAGAAATTATTATTACCGAGCAACAAGTATAAACAGCCCTAGATAATTTTATAAGAAAAACAATCTCGAAAGATGAAAAATATCAAACTTTGATTTGATCATGATCGTGTTCACTTGTGCTCTTGAGTAATTCGACAATACGATCAACAATCACTTGATATGAGAAGGGAATACGATTGAATAGATAAAAAAGATCGTTTTGTGCGTTGCGACGCACCTAAAAGTTAATTAGATAAATATTTTCAAACAAAGCAAATTCAACTGACTGCACTGTATCGATTAATCGATAGTTCAAATAATTTGAATATAATCTCTTTATTAATCTCATTTAATGGACCATAATAAGTTGTTTCAAGTTCCTAAGAATAGAAAGAGAAGATCATCAATTTTTTTTTGTTCTTTTTTAATTACTTTGATCTTCAAAGCCATTTTTTGAATGATTAAGAAACGGAGATTTTGTCCTTCACCACATAGTTTGTTTTTTGATAGTTTTTCTCGAGAATTGAAATCTTTTGACCAATCATAGATTCCGTGCTCGTAAATACCATAATAACTAGAAATTAATCGATAGAACTACAAATGAAAATATACACGATACAGAATAAAACATTGGCATGATCATTTCAATTTACTCCGAGAGCTTTTTGTATCGATAAAACATCACCTGAATGATTTTCGACGAGTTTGTCTAGGAACAATCCAATATCGATGAAGAGTCGCAATCGTAAATTCTCTGGGTATTCTAGAGATAAGAAATAATCAAACAAATTTACAAAAATTGATTTTTCTTACTAAGTTCTGTCGAATTTTTTGAGAGTCGAATTTGATATTTGGAATAATGTGGAACCATTGATTGTACCATAAGATTTCGTACCTCTTTACTTTCAATAGGAGGCACGAAACAAAAGGCCCCTACGGCGATTGACCGAATAATGGTGAGAGATCTCAATCGTTCGTTATTGGACATTTTTAAACCATTTTCATTCAATCGAGCCAATTCAGGATATAGAAATATTTCGACAAATTCGTAAACAAAATCAATTTCATCAATACTGGGAATGTGAAATTGAGGTTGAACTTTATCAATATCAACATATTGTCCCCATAGCTAAACGATTCAATTCAATGGAAAAGATTTAAAAAAAACAAAACAATAACTAACTCGAATTGGTAAAAAATTGTCGAATGTTTCGTCACTATTGATGACTAACAGTCGGTAATCAACTGGATACGAACAGGAAAGAGATTCAAGTAAATTTATAACAGCCTTAGCCACTGCGTTATATGAATTCTTGTTAACAATTTGGATAAATTGATGAAATACAGACATAATCAATTGTTTATAGATTAGTAAAACATCACCACGAGCACGAAGAAGTTCAGCAAAGACAACTAAATACCATGTCAATTCTATATCATCTTTGTAATCAGTTAATAATGTTGATTCAGAATTGTTAAATTTGTTTTCAATAGATTTGCATATTTCAGGAAGAAGATATTTGAGTGTTTCCACTGGATTACCTTTGACAAGTGCTCGAACGAGACCACTAGCGATGTCTCGTACTTTTGGTGATAAACATTGACTACTAAGAAAATTCATTATCTTCTCTCGAATTTTCTAAATTGTCATAAACATAATTAAAGAGAATATTCTAATTAGAAGCAAGTAAGATAAATACTTGAAAAATAGGACTGCTACATTGTTGAACAATATTGAATAGGATTGAAGTCACTTTTGGCTGGATGTCTATATCCGGCGTATTATCATTTGCATCCGCCGTTACTGCATCAGATATTTCGGCTGATGAAATCTCAATGATGTGAAATATTCGATTGAGAAATTCATTGATAAAATCTTCAAATTTCGATGTCGATAGACATACTTCTCTTTCAATCTATTACAAGAAAAAACATATTTATTTTTTTCAAGTTGAAATGAACTCATACTTCAGTTAGATCATTTCGAATATTTACTGCCGATGAACAATCAATACATGTGATTTGCATCAGCATAGTGTCAAGAAATTCTAATGTAACGGATGTTTTCTTAAAATCATTCAGATCGATACCAGGTAATACAGATATCAGTAATGGTAAAACATAAGTTTGACCTTGACTATAAGATGGTGTTTGTTGTACTATTTGACGAGCAATATGTGTTAAACAAGTGATGATGGATGTAAATCGATGTGGTTCAGTCATACTATCAATCGCCAAGAAATGTCTACGATGATTGAATAAGTCAATAAATCAAAGAGATCAAATAAAAATACCGTACTTTTCGACGATAAATGGAATAATTAATTCTGGCCGAAGTATAGAAAGATAATGACAAGCTTCAACTGCTGTTTCCATATAAGTTTGATTAAAAATAGATATAAAAACATATTCTTTCAGACAATTGACAAAATCAGTGATATTTTCTTCCGTCAGTCGATAAGATGACAGTGGTGTAAAAGACCAAACAGGATGAGCTTTGCGTTCTCTAGAAAGTCCATTACATATAATATACATTCAATCAATATACTTACAAATGAACTCGATCGACAAAATACGTGGTAAGTTTCAAGAGAAATTCGACTAGATTTTTCTGGAATGTACCCATGTTTGTTGGATGATAGAAACTTCGAATGCTAATTAACAGATCTGCCAAGTATTGTAGACACGAACTACGATTGCCTATCATCGCAACAATCCATTTTGCCACCTCTGGGACAAAATGGGGATATTTTTGTGGAGTCTCTTGTAGTTTACCCATTGGAAGTGAAAATCCTCTAAGTATTCGTGTGAAGATCTAAAAGAGATGAATTTTCATTATTCAAAATAAATGGGAAAAAAAGATTATGTACCTGTGACATCCATGGTTCCCAATCAATATAACCAATATTATGCCAAGCGACTGATGAAAAAATATCGATTAGACGCTAATTATCTTATTATTAATAATGATACATGGGGTAAAAAAATTAACTCACTGTTCTCCACACATCTTGATTGTAAATATTTTGCCAAATATTGAAAAACTCCGATAACCATAATCTAAAATAATACACAGGGTATCAAGAAAAAGAATGGAAAGAATGAAAACAAACTGAAATCCTTGGTAATGCAGATTCGGAGGTAAATTGACAGGAAGGAAATATGAGAACATCCTCATGACGCCAGCAAAACTCCCTCCCATAGGACACATTTGTGGACGTAATTCATCAAGAATTTCTTGCGTAGCTATTGCCGAGAAGTATGGAGAACAACGAGTAACACAGAGTGCAAGTGAACCGTCTATGTAGCTGAATAAAATTGAAAATATTATCCTTCCTTTTAAGAAAAAATCATACGAACCTAGGTAGAATGACTAATCCATGAATTTTATCATGATTATCATTAATCAATCGAGCCCAATAATATAATATTCTCCAATCAATTTCCAAGTCATCTCGTGTGATCAAACGAGTCTTTCTAAAAAAAATCGTTCTACTTTGTTATCGATTGAATTGAAAAAGATCTCGAATACAAACCGAAGGAGGTGACGAAGCATGTCAAAACATAGTTGAACATAGATATAATTCAAATCGGTAATGGAGAGAATAGAAAGATATAAATTGATTAATTTAAGATGATCGACCTTGGAAAAATAAAATCCATATTTTAAAATGAATTCTGTTAATTTGCGTGACCAAATTAAAAGGCCAGGATTTAATTCTCCCAACTGAATGGTGCGTGACAAATTTTCCCGGATTTCATCGAACAAGTCTAAACCATATTGTTTGATAGATTCATTGAATGGCGAATATTCATTGTAAATATTGGGTTTTTGAAGATTATTCATTTTAATAATCAAAGCCTACAAATCAGAAAGAAATAATGTAGGTAGTATGCAGTTGCAGAAGTGCTGACTATTTTTCTCTTTATTTTCCTTTCTCGCAATAAACTCGACTATACTATAACAACCAGAGGGGTAAGCCGATGAATCGATTGGCGACGGCGGCTAGAAAATATTGAAATTTTTTCACCCGTCGACGGCGGCGGCGGCGGCGGCTTGACCGATCTACTTACACCCCTATATATGTATATTCACGAATAGCTATTCAAAATCAGAATTATTCAAAAAATATCATAACAATTGAAATTGTTTGATAAATAGTCGCGAAAAAAGAAACTTACAGATTTTTCACAGTCAGTCATCTAATAAAAGAACAGTTGAGAAATTCTACAGAAGAGAAGTCAGCTACTTACATAATTTAATGGTTATGCACATTTGTTTAAATAGCTATGCTGTTTAATAAAAAAGTATCTCTTTTGAGTAGAGCCCGTCGGATCCGAGTCCGAGTCTGGATTGAAAGAAATATGTTATCAAAATAATATTTGTTTTTGAATTTCTTCAATTTTTTATTAGACGGGCCCAAAAAATTGTGGACCCGACGGCGTCTACTTTTGAGACGCTTCGCTAGCTAACATTTGTGTTATATATCAAGAATAATAATAAACTTTTTATACAGCCACATTGATTGCTTATTATCTAGTTCATAATTTATATTTAAATTTTGATCTTAATAAGATCAACAATGTTACTAATATTTTGATACAACTGATCGATTGAATCAATCATTAATTTTTAATTTATCCTAGTTTCAAAAAACAGGTTTCTATTGTTTAGGTCAAATGAATTATTCTTCATATCAGAGTGATCTATTTGAAAAATTATTAATTATTGCTAACTTATTTAGATCTGTGCTTCAAATAATTAATGATATTATCATTAAATCAGCGTGGGTACATATAAGCATAGATATGTACTCGAGTAGCATTCCAGCAAAATCTTATATTTAATTACTTCGCCTGAAGAATCGATCATGCACTACCCATGAATTTAAACATGACTTATTGAATAAAAAAATGGCATTTGATTGTTTGTCAATGGAATCTTTCGATTATTTAACAAGTGATATAATGAGTTCAATTACATTCAGAACTTGTGTTTCATCTCAGTTTCGAGAAAAAATTAGCAAATTAAAAAAAAATTAGCTTTAGTATAATCTTTTTTTTGCTATGTATTTATATTATATTTGTTAAGTAATACTTGAAAAACAGATAATCACCTTTCTTTATTGTGTAATATTGGTCACTATCGATAATGAATACGGGCTGCTTCTCATTTGTCATACTTTGTTCATTTATCGATATTGTGAGTTCATTGTGTTTTATTCGCCGATAACAGTCTATATTATCTTCTCAGATAATATTCAGTCAAGAAAAATATGAGTACAGATAGTTCACCTACATTGTTTGAACAATTCCCCGTTGAACTGATTCGTTCAATATTTGAATATCTGTCTCCACTCGATCTACTAAATGCTTTTGAAGAATTGAATAGTCGATTTTCATCAATTATTCGTGAACATCCACTTTGTTTACCTCATAATCGACGAATGAGTTTAAACGTTTATGAAGATTATATGGGATACGTATTACCAGAATATTCGTCACAAATTGTTTATCTTCATCTATCCGAACATCGTACTCCTTATGCAGTTGAATCATTTCTCAATAAAATGTATGATCAAAAATATTTATTCTCAAAATTAAAAGCGATCACCATTCAAGATATTCCTCTTCGTTTGTATGATTCATTATTGGACGATATTCTTCCATTGTTCAACAAACTCGAATCACTTACAATTGATCTGAATGCCGATCATTATCATCATGCCGATTACAATCAATGGACAGATATTGACTTTCTTGTCCCAATACTCAATTCATTTCCTCAGTTATGTTCATTGTACTTGAAGATTACGCCGACATATAACAAGAATTACTTGAATGATGTCAATATGATCTCTTCTTCTATGTCTTCTCATTTGCATCTTCACACACTCTCTATTGATCAATGTTCACGTCAATTATTTGTAGAATTACTTAGCAAGAATCGTCTTCCAAAATTACGTAATTTACGAATTATATTTCCTCAGTAAGTATCTAAAAAAATTTTCATTTTCACAAAAAAATAATTTTCGCTGTTATTTAGAATGATATATAATGAACATGTTTTAACAATGCAATCTCATCAAATACCATTGAATACAAGTTGCATACCTCAATTACGTCGTATCAAACTTGAAGTGCACAGAAATATTCAATGGATTTTAGATTATTTTGAAGAGATCTATCGTTGTGAACAACTGGAAGAATTAATCATGGAAGGTCATGTGAGATTCAGTGAAAATACAGATTTTCCAAGGGCAGAAATTGTACGAAAATGGTTAGCTATGTCGAAATTGAAACAATGCAATGTTCGATTTCATTTTTCTGTTACCTGCAGAGAAGAAATTGATCAACAAAATTTAAATGATTTATTCGCTAATTATATGAAGATATTTGGACGAAATTCGATTTACCAAAATGAGTACATTCTTATTCACTATCCGAATAATATTAAATCACTTCCAAATGAAGACGAAGAAGATGATATTGGCGCTGTTGATGAAGTAAGAAAGAAAAGCGAGTTATTATTCAAATGAATATATTTAATTTTAGTTAGATATTAACGAATCAGTGTATTTGGAAGATGAATGGATAGAAGCTGTACAAAATGTCTCTCAATGGCCGAATCTTCGCAAAATATCGATTTCAGGTGATTGTACAACAGATAAGTAAGTCAAAAATTTTGATTTAATTGTGTAAATTCTTTCATGTGATTGTAGAGATGCTATTAATCGAAATTTTCGAATCCTACTTCATGTTGCACGACGAGCAGCACGTTTCTGCGAACTTAAAATTGAGGCAACGCTTACATTTGGTCTTGCTTTATCGTCAAACATTGAACTTTGCAAATATCTTGGTGATCATCTCGAAGTACTTCGTTTTAATGGCGAAGATCAAACAAGTTCCTTTCTTCAATTAGTTCAAATCGTTGATACAATTTACTCTCACTCATCATCTTCATCATTACCACTGAAAAAATTGACAATTTTTGTCGGTGCTGAGCCATCATCATGGCTAACAATTGAACATTTTCAAAAAGGACTTCAACTAGTCTTTAATCGTTTTCCATCACTTATTCATTTTACATTATACTGTTATCAAACAGAACTATATACGGATACTATTTATGATTTAAATGAATTGTTAACCGATTGGTATTCAGGAGTTAAGTGTGGCAGATCATGGAGTTGGAGATCTCAATCAAATTCATTCGATCTTTGGCTCTAAAGCAATTACTCGTCTATCTAATAACATAAAGACATATGTTCATTCTGTCAATAATAATAATCTTCTCTCAGTTAGTTTTCAAATAAATGTTCATATGAAATTCTCTTCCTTCAGTAAAACATATCTATTAAAGATACTTTCACTTCTATTTGTTGAAGAGTGGGTGTGGATGTCACTTCTTCCTTTACAATCACACCTCAAATATATGATGGAGTACTAGCTGACGTTGCACGATAAGTCACGATCTAGACATAAGAGAAGCGATTTCAAGATATAATTACTCGATACAAATAAATCATCATTGAGCTTTTTTGTTATGAGTTAGGAGTATCGAAGGTGAAACGACATCGATTGAGGAAAATGTGGTTTGACTAATTCTGTTTACTTGATATTATACCTGTAGTATATGAATTTTTTTATCAAAGCCTTAAGATAGGTTTTTTTTGTTACGAATATGAAAGATAGTTTCTCTATCGTAGTCATATTCAATCTTTGAATGTTGAGATTTAGTTCATAAAATCTAAAAATGATATTTAACTCAATCATTATACTAGCTAATCATTCGAAACAATCGTTCGACTTTTATCTAAATTATTTTTTCTTTATTTTACTTCAAGGAAAAACCTGTACTTTTTTTATAAACTGTTTGCTCCCATCTTTTCTTCTGAGCAATAATCAAATTACTTTTCTGAAGACTTTCTTCTTGTGCATCTATTGTATGTTATAATAATAGAAAATGCACGTAATTTCAATTTTCAACAAAAACTTTTCATAATTAGTTGTTCATGCTTTATCGAGGTATACATAAAAAAAATATTACTTGATGATTATTTATTACGCACTGAGAAAAAGTACTATAGGGCTGTTTTATGATAATAAACAATCGTTCGATTGATATTGAGATATTGAAAACCTGTTTCTCTTCATTTATTTATTAAATAAAATGTTGTTTGATATGTAGACGCTCGTTCATACAAATAATAAAATAAATTTTCATGATAAATCTCAATTGTAACTGATTTTAGGGAATAGATAATAGCTTGACGTAACGACCACGGCAACTGTTGAAACTTATCAGTCAGTATTAAAAGTCTGACATCGTCAAAAAAAATAATCAAAAATTATCCTTATATTTGTATCTTGTTGGCGGAAAAATCGCCTAAATATACTATTTATATGTGTGCTGTCATTTGTAGAAAATAAGACACGAAATGTGCGTTTGAGTATATGTTCAATTAATTCGTCGTAAAAATAATCTTTTATTTCATTAACAATAAATAGATGATCTTGAATGAGTGAGTTGATTTTACTTTTCAAACTAAGAAAATCATTGGTATCATTGCAAATATTCATCGATAATAAATCTCAAGTACTGGGAAACGACGTCAGAATATCATATTGACTTGAGTTCTGCAGTACGACAGCAGCTGAATGCTCATTTTCGTTACGAACATCACTATTAACTATGTTCATCATAAGATTAATTATTTGTTTTTGGTAAGACAATATGTATGTGAGTGTGCGTGTTGACATAATAATGATAAATAATTTTATTTGGAAAGTTACAATTTCTTATCTTGTTTTTTGTGTGCTTGAGAAGATCTATCAAACGTTGTAAGAGAACAGAAAAACAACTGTGGGTGAGGGTGTAAATAAAGAAAAGATTAGTCTTCACCAACACCGACACCCACACCCACATCCTCAAGATGATTATTTTTCTTTGAATTCCTTGAAATGTTATTTGTCTACTCACACGCTCAAAACAACCTTAGCAAACATTGCAATAAGATGATGCAAGAACAGGGTTTTTTTTCTTTCTCGTTCTGGCGCAACTTTTATTTTTCTGTTTACCGCCGATGCATGTTCTCGATAGAAAAAAAAAGAGTTGTTTTTCTATTTAGTTAACATTTGCATAAAAACACCAACGAAGAATGGATGTCTCCACGACATCACCTGATGACGCGCTTAAAAAGCGTTATGCTGAGCTTGCGGAGAAAACAGCTATGGCAATAGCAAACGAAGGACCACCACCAAACATCAATGATCGACCAGTAATTCCAAACTCTCTTCCTGCATTGCCACGTTATGAACCGCCTCCACCACGTCGACCTCAACGTCTACGACACATGGTATGTCGTATGTTTTTTCCAACATCGGGCCATCTGGGTTTTGATACAATCAAATTGACTACGGAGCTACCATCGATCGAAATAGTTCGTGAAATGGTCATATATGAAACACGTCTTCGGTTGTCGGATTCAATTCAAGAAATTATGGATCAGTACTATACCGACGAGTGTGCTGTTACGTAAGTTTCACTTTTTTTATTTCGTTGTAATATACGTATATATTGATTGGTGAGAACTCGTAGTTTCGTCCACGATCTCATCCAAAAACATGTAGTAGAATATTTTGGCTATCATGATGTCAATGCACTACGCACTGCTCTATATCGTTTTCCAAATGATCCCGTTATTCAAGCCGCTTTCTATGGTAAGAAATTGTTCGAAAATATTTGACAATATCAGAAGATATTTAGCAAAAGTCAAACTTTTGAGTTAACAATATGTTTTGATAATTACTTTTTTTTCAGTCAAATACAACAAAATTACACAAGGTATAATTAATCAAGGCCAATGTGCTCGTGATATTGATTTGTATACAACAGATGGTCATCTTACTACTTTATTTTCACAAATGTCATCTGGTCAACCATTGATAATATTGGCCGGGTCAACTAGCTGACCTCCATTTCGGGCAAATGTCGAGCGAATGAAGTAAGTTCTTTGTTTGTTAAAATTAAACTAGACACACTTATATGTTCATAATTGATATGTAGCGCGCTTGTTCGCTCACATGCGCCCAACGGCATTCGCCTCTTAGCAATTTATATTGCTGAGGCACATGCACGAAATGAGTGGCCTGTAGGAAAGACAATTTCATGTATTGATCAACCAACAACGCTAGCAGAACGACTTAATAATGCACAACAATTCAAAAAGAACTTCAATTTCGAAATGTCGATGCTCGTTGACAACATGGATAACACTTTTCATATTACTTATGGTTCATGGCCATTTCGCTTCTTTGTCATTTATGATGGCAAATTAGTGTTGAAAGCAGAACCCGATAAAGAAACATTTACCTATGATATAAATGAAATCGACAACTGGATTGCTAACTTCTATCAATCACGTTCTCAAACTATTTGAAACTTTTTTTTAAATGACTTAAATGAATAGTACATTTGTTTTCTTGTCCCACCTTAGTTTTCTTGTCCCACCTTAGTTTTCTATTTCCTATGGATCTGTTCGATATTCCTCGACACATGAAACTTTAACATGAACTAATGATAACTATGAACAAAAATCACATTTAGTGAATGTTCACAGTTTGATGAAAATATGTTAAATTTCTAGAGGAATTCTTAGCGCGTAAAATTGTCGAATACATCCCGGCCGAAGCAGAAAACAAAGGTAGAATAATAATCAATTGTACACTGATTAGATGGATTGTGTTTTCTATACTTTGCCAAAAATACAATAAAACTATACTCACCTACACTCGCACCCTCAAGATGGTGATTCTATTTCAGATTTTACGATCTTCCAACAAAATAGCAACATCATTGACATACTCAGGTGGATTACAGAGAAAAGAAAAGACGCTTCAGTTATCGTATCACTCTTTGTATTTAGTTACTAACGATGTCGTTATCCAAGTTTGAAACACTTCCAAACGAAATTCTTATGGAACTCTTCGAGAAACACATCAATGGTCTCGATGTTGTGAATGCATTCGCTTTCCAACTAAATCGACGAATCGATAGATTGATTCTCCGATGCCAACGTTTCCAGTTTGATTTCATCCGGTGTCATAAAGGTGATTTTGCTATTTGTCTCAATCTGCTACCCGCTTATTCAAGTAGAATCGAAGAATTAGGACTGTCCGAACACAAAACACCCGGACAGATCTATGCTTTCTTAAACGCATATCCTAAATTTAGCTCATTTACACAGCTTCGTCGACTTTACTTTCATATGGATCTAAATAATTGCGATCCGATAATGATACAAAAAGCTTTGGATTCACTTGTCGAAACACACATCGAAACACTTGCAGTAAAGATAGTTGGCATACCAGAAGAGCGATACCGCTCCTATGGTTTGAACTTAGCACAGTTCTTTCAGCTTCCAACGGTGAAAAAACTGACTTTTGCCACTAATGTCGCATTTCCATACGATTTCTTCGATAATGTAATAAAACCTTCGAACATCGAATATTTCACTTTTGCGGATCCAGAAATTAGTTTTGATGGCTTCAGTCTTCTAGTACGATTGATGCCGAACCTGAAATATCTCAATATTCGTTTGACTTCTGCACGATATGTTGTTCGACGTTGGCGAGACTTCGATCAAAACAACCCGTTCCCAGTTATGCCCATGATGAAGACTTATATCGTTCATGTCAATGATGGAAAATCGATCGATTTCGATCGTTTAGCACATCACCTCAAAGCAATGCCTGCTTTACTTCAACTGGAAGTTACTGCACCTCATGCAGTTTTCAATGCACAGAATTGGGAAGATTTGATCACATCATCATTGAAGAAACTCGTTCATCTACGTCTCTATGCCACGAGACATTATCAAGATCCGGAAACTGTTGTACAAATCACAGATGCATTCAAAACTCCATTTTGGGTCAAGAAGACGAACTTTGTCTTTATGCTCATGCAACTGATCCAGCATAAGAAAGTCAGAGAGCTGAGTGAAACGATTGAACGTTTGGGTCGCGCTAGTTTCAATATTTATGCCTACCAATTCTGGACCGGAGCCGTTAGAAGTGATAGGTTCCTGCAAAATCCGATGGTCTTGACGGGAGAGGAGAACAATCAAATCTATCAAAGGAAAGACGATTATTTTTACTATGTTGAACATATTGATTGTCAGAATATGGATCAGCCTATGGTCGATTGGTTCAAAGGGCATGTGAACTGTTTGAAAATTAAACATTTTGAAGGGCGATACTTTTGTAAAGGAACAGAATTATCGATCTTTACCAATCTTCGAACTGTTCGATTACCACCAAAGGCATTGACTGCTCTAACCAACGATAAATCCCAAGTTTTTTCTACTGTTCAGTATCTCGATCTTCGTGATGAAAACGAACTATTCCATTCTGAATGCATCGAACAAATACGAGAATTATTTCCGAATGTCGAACATCTTGTGTTCAATACAGAATCGTTAGACTGTGTTCCAAACTTAGCTTGTTGTTTGCCACGACTTCGTTCATTGACTTGTATGATGCATGATCAAAATCCCAATTGGGAGCTCGACTTAATAAGATACCATCTGAATAAGTGGTCACAAAGCTTACGACAAAAGTGTGATTTATTCTTTTGTCGTGAAGGAGACTATTTGATTATCTGGCTTGACAAGGCTTCAATCAAAAATACTCGATGGCACACTTTTCGTACAAAACAAACATCTGAAGAGGAACGACAGCATTTTGCTGCCTTATTCGATGCCCCCAACAGTGAAGTCACTAGTGATGCCGATGAAAATAATTATTATGGTCGACAAGATCGGAAACGTCGACGCTATCAATCCCATCCGAATGATCTTTTCTTTGACGAGTATGACTATGATAACTAACTAGTTTAAGTATCATGAATAAATTCTTTTTTTTTATCTCTTCGAAATAAACACGATAAAGGTTTTTGGTGTGGATGTGGGTGTGTGTTATGATCGTGACATCTATTTTTCTACTTTCGTTATTTCTTTCGTGTTTACTTTCTTTGTTAGAGTTGTGATATAAGTTGTTGGAGAATAAAAAAGAAAGTCAGTTATACCTAAGAATACATCGAACACGCCTCTTATTTACATATATATAACATAGGGTATAACAGTGGTGACAGCGGTTAAAGAAAAAGAAGAAGAAGTAAACATTTGTTTTTTTTCTCTTCTTCTTTTATCTAGCGACGATTTCAATTATTCAAAAAAGGAATCGTTCTTAATTAAGAGCTGATTCTGTCTTACACATCCAACAACGGAACTTAAATTAAAATTATGACCAACGATGATTTAATTTCAAATTCGAATGATGATACAAAAACAATAGAAAAGCCGACACAATCAATTCTTGCATCACAACAACGACATATGAATACATCGAGTGAATCAGTACGTCGGCATGTTCGAATTATTACAGAAGGAGAAAATATGGATATGGGTAAATGGTTATCTATATTAAACAAACTTTATGATGATCGAACTTATTCACCATCACAACGTGTAATTTATACAGTTTCATTATTAAATGAAGAACAAAAATTATGGTACGAACAAAACAAGGATGAAATTAAAGATGATTGGACACTTTTTTGTGAACGATTAGAACAATATATACACAGTTATAAACCAGCAGGAACAAATCTCTTACTCAATGATACTTCAGTATTGAACAATACTACAGTAGTTATACTAGAAGATCTTATTGATTCAAAATTTAATAAATATTCAGGTGTTGGTGATGCAAAAGATTGGTTGTTGCAAACAATGAATCAATTTAAAGCATGTGGATTACGGCGTGACGATCAGTTTGAAGCTATACCTTTATTATTAGAAGGAGATGCTTATTTATGGTATGCTGAAAATAGTGATGCAATACTTAATTTTGAAATATTTACCAAGTTATTTTTACAACAATACAAATCAACAGTATCATCACTAACAAGTTCTACAGTGGGTACGAGAGCATTGGTCGCCTCAGTACCTGATCATACGTCTACATCACATTTACAACGAACTGTAGCAGATGAAATTATCAAACGACCAACATATTTTCGTGGCTCCCAAGATGATGTACATGAATGGTTGGACAAACTAGAACAACGATTTTCAATGGCACAATGGAGTGATGCAAATAAATTACATTATATATCCATACATTTATTAGAAGATGCTTATCGATGGTGGATGCAAACATCTTCAACAATTAATACTTGGTCTTCATTTACAAATGCAGTTACAAGAGCTTTTGGTTCAACACGTGCACAAGAACTAGCATTTGAACAATTAAAATGGTACAAACAAACAATTAATCAATCCATTACACAATATTATGATAAAATTATTGAATTATGTAAGAAAGTTGATCTTGCAATGCCTGATTCTTTGAAACTAAAATATTTAATGGCTGGAATTAAAGAATCATTAAAAACACACGTTGCATTACAAGATCCCAAAACAACAGAAGCATTTCTATCATCAGCAAGAAAAATATGAAGATATTTTACCATCGTATTGTTTCGACAAGAAAAATTATTGGCGATTCAAGTAATGAACCTTTTTGTTTTTTTCTTTTTGTCTCTTCTTGTTTCTTCTTGTTAGTTTTTTTTTGGTGAACTTCTTCATTATTTTTTTTTCTTTTTCTTCTCCTCCTCCATTTTCTTTCAAAAAAGTTTTTGTTGTTATCAAAAATCTTTTTTCTGGAGTGGGAAGGATGTTATGATCGTGACATCTATTTTTCTACTTTCGTTATTTCTTTCGTGTTTACTTTCTTTGTTAGAGTTGTGATATAAGTTGTTGGAGAATAAAAAAGAAAGTCAGTTATACCTAAGAATACATCGAACACGCCTCTTATTTACATATATATAACATAGGGTATAACAGTGTGGGTAGATAAGAAGAATATCGATACCAAGACCCACACAAATAGTTATCGTATATCTTTACCTTTTAGTAACATATAAAGATGTTATATCAGTTATAATTCATATCATCAATTATCAGGTAACCGATCTTTTTATAATATTTCTATCTTCTCAACTAGAAAATATCACGAGAAGAATATCATCAGACATTCTACGTACTTATTTATTAAGAACACATTAATTCAAAATTTTCTTTCTGAGTACTATTAATTACTATTTTTAAGAAAATGTTTTATGATTATCATGCTTTTTTTTCAAATAATTCAATAGAATCAGAGAGCATAAAACATATCAAATAAAATCTTCAAAATTTTAATTTAATATGCATTACTTCGTCGCATTTGAGACGTCAAGAAATAAAACACATGTAATAGATGGAGAAAAAAAGCATAATTTTCATTTTTAGTTGGGAAAAGAAAAACTATTTCAGACGATTATATTTTACAAAGTTTACTCTATTAATCAGATATTTGGTAAGTAGTGTTACGAACATTAATGAAGAAATTTGTATTACTATCGGATGATTCAAGACGCTTTCTAACGGATGTATTTATAAAGTGATAAAAGAAAATTACTCAGCCTATCGTAACAGTATTGCAAATATGTTTTGTTTTGGAAAAAAAAAGATTTTTCTATGATAAAATGAGATGTATGTGCGCTTTGAGAACAATAAATTCTTACTTTGAAAATTCATATCACTCTAAAATTTAGTTGACTCATAGAAATTAAGGAATAGAATAGAATGAAATAAGTGGATGAATGATGGCATCGATGAAGATTTGCATGAAAAGTAACACTGTCTGAATATAAATGTAACTGTGAATATTGATGTCTAGTATGCATAGATCTATATGTGGATGTAAATACAAAGATAATAACTTGTTCGCTCTCATCCATTCAAAATGTACGTTATGTAATTAGATTTTTCAAGCATCTTGCAAAGCAGAATGTACATATAGCTATATATTATCTCTTTCAGCAGTGCACAAATAATATTTAGTGAAAATATTTTACAAATAAACAGGCATACAATATGGCATCATGGTCTTACATCACTCAAATGTATACACTTTATGTGGTTATTCCATTCTGCTGTATAGGTCTTTTTGGTAGTTTAATGAATACAATTATACTTTCAACTTCACGTATGTATCGTACTCAGCCATGCACATTCTTTTTACTCATAGCAGCGATTGCACAATCAGTGCAGTACTTGACTGCAGGAATATCTCGTATTTCTGCTGTTGGCTTTAACACAAATTTAACTCTTCTCTCGCCTGCATGGTGCAAATTAAAGGCATATCTTATTGATACCTGTTATGGTATCGCAATGACATGCGAATGGTTAGCAACAATTGATCGTTTTCTGATGACCTCACGAGCAGCTAATCTACGACAATTGAGCAAGATCAAATGGGCTTATTATGCTAGTACTGGTGTAGTTATTTTCTGGACACTTACATGTGTACCGGATCTCATTTTCATTTATATAAGGTTAGGAAGTTATAATTTATATTTCAGTTTAATTCATAAGGAAAGCTAAGGCGTCAAATTCCGAGCTAATTATAAAGAGAAGAAAACGTTAATATAACAATCTTGATAGATTCGTGATTTTCTTAAATATATGAGTTTTCTATGTGAATTAATTCACAGAAAATTTATGTATATAATTATAACAACTGTCAGAATTGCTTGTCAAATAATGTATTAGAGATTATGACAAAACTTCGTATATGCTTTAATGTAGATAAGATACCTGGATAATCAAATTAGAAATGCATGATGAATCGTTCATATTCATTAAATTATTTATTTAATTTTTTACAATTATAAATAGATTATGAGAATGTAAAAAGTAGATATTTCTACTATAATTTCAAATTTAATCACCCATGAACTGGAGAGAACTATGGCAAAAAATTTTAGCGAATTTATCGTTTTGACAGAGAGTATGAATAGGGAAAAGAAGAAACCATCTTGAAAGTTTCTACGCTATTTTCTTATACCTGTATTTTTTAATATTTAGTTCGAACGTTTGTGACAATTACAATGACATTTGGGGAATTTACTATACTTATGTTAATAATTGGTTTTTCTATACAATACTTCCGGTGTTTACTATCATTGTGTTTGGTACACTTGCATACCGAAATATGCGCACTTTAACAAATACACGTCAACTACAAGGAGCTGATCGTCAACTTACTCATATGATTTTAGGACAAATAATATTAATTATTATTTCTGCTTTGCCCGGTGCTATTTTCGATGCATACTCATCCGCATCAGTTTCTGTGTACAAAACAGCAGAACAAGCAAATGTTGAATATTTC